TAGATAGCCACCTCAGTTCCCATGGTTAAGACCACTATAGACCACTGAAGTTTGAGCATAAGTAGGGCCATATCTAGAGTTGCGGCTGACAATCACTCAGGACTATACTGGAAACATAACCATGAAGAGATCTCCCCGCAGCCGGATGGCGGACCCAGAGTATCAACTGATGCCTCCTCCGTGCAGAAGTATTGAAGGAAGATTCGGTGGACAAATCGGCAGGGTAATGGCATGTTGCCTGGACATAACGCTTGGGATTCAGAGCTTAGGGTTGCAGGAGCTTAGGGTTCCAGGGTTAGCTAGGGTAGGGCTGAGGCCGGTGAGCTTTCATGCCAGTCTGAGCGGTCAGTATCTCTGGGGAGGTGCGCCTGACCGAGATTCACAATCCCCGAGTCTGTTTAGTCAGATTGTAACCATGATCTCTTGATCTACATTGTGGCCATACTCATGTTCTGAACCTTAGCCCCCGAAAGTCTTAGTACCCTGCACCCCCAAGGTCCGGGACCCCCAAACCCTGAAGGCCTGCACCCCTAAACTCGGAAGCAGAGCCGTGTTCCAAGGAGAAGCAACTTGCTCGCACTGCAGCCGGTTCCAGGAGGACTTGACGGTTTTCCACTTCGAGACTTCCACCCTCCTTCCCATGCCCCAAACCCTCCGCCCGAATCTAGAGGTCTGAAGAATTCGTCAGAAGATCCCGTTCAAGTCCTTGTATAGTCGAGGTCTGCGGCTTGCGTGTGCCGCTAAAGAACTACATCATCAATCCAGACATCGAAACTGTGCGTCTTGCCGTAGGAACATTGAAGGGAACACCACACAGTGTTGCCCCAGAGTCCAGCAGCACTTCTCCCCAAACATGTGCAACCATCCTGCCCGAAATGGTTCATGCAAATTCATATCCTATATTCTTATCAAACTTCTGCCGCAATCATCAAAAGGTTTCGGGCAGAGCGTAAGCAGTGATGGATTTGCAGCATTTCAGCCCTCCTATAGGGGTCCCCGAAAAGATGGCTTCCGGAAAAAGTCGACAAAATGCCATCTTAGAACCCGCAAGGGTGGCTCAACGGTTTCCTCCAAATTCCGTAGAATTACCGGTCCAATAGATGGCTTCTGAACATTCGACCCTAGAGAGAATCGTCGAGGGATTGATTGGATAGGCCTCGAACGGAGTCACCATGCATTGAGAGGGAAATATGCACTGCGTTGGTGTGCCATCTTGTCTGCCGGTTTGAGGGTCCACGGGAGGTCCCGATTGTATGCCATCTTTTTGCCGGTTTGAGGGTCCG